TGAAGCATTTTGCTTTTGTGTCATCTGTATTTTTAACTATGTAAAATCAGAAGTCTGGGAGATTTGGCTCAATGAATTTCTCTTTCACCGTAGCATAAAAATGTCTCTCAGCAGACTCACAGTCAGTTGGAATTATTGTAATCCTGGTGAGCTCTTGCTAATGAGACAGACATCTGCAGCCATCCAGCTGCCAAGTACAAATTCCAGGTATCTTACAGAGGAGGAGGATTCTTATTTGGAAAAAATCAAAATAAAAAAAAGAGTGAACTGCTCAGGAATTCCTCTTGGAAACCCCCACTGAGTTCATCATCTGCTACTTGGGATCTAAACTGATTTTCCTTCTGTTTGTCTTCTGTTTGGAATATTTTTCAGGGAGTTCTGAAATGCTGATGTATATTTATCATTGTTTCATAATCCTGTCCTGTTTTGTGATTCCCCCTTCAAAGTTCTTCCTGCAAAGTTCCTTTCCCAAACAATTTGGATCCTGTTTGACAAACACTGTGTTGACTTTTCTTCTTCCTTGCAACACATTTTAATAGGACTAAAATAAGCAGAGATGCCCTTGGCTTACTTTTCTGCAGTGTTAGCAGGAACATGGATAATCTCAAGAATATTAAGTATTCCTTGCTTTTCTCTTCTGTTTCTGTGGAGAGCAAGAAGAAGAAATGGCTCCTGTACCATGAGACTTAAATGGGAAATTCAGGTGTACGGAGTTTCAAATTCCAAATGATTAATCCAGACTAATTATCACTGGAAATAACCAGATCCTAAACCCAAACCCTTACATTTCTAAAACTTACCGTGTTTTTCAGTAAAATGAAGGGGAAAAAAAGCCTCTGTTACTTTCTTCCATTTGGGTCTTGGGTTTTGGTTTAAATTCTTACCCATACAGGAAATAATCTACAGGTGTTTAAGGGAAATTCAAGTGAGTGGAGGGCTAAGAAAAAACCTGTTGAGGAAAATTTGTTGTTGTGTGGAATTTTTTATCCTTTTTGGTGTAGGATGTGGTGCTTGGGACCGTTATTTAGTGGCCTTGGCATTACTGGGTTAATGGTTGGACTCCATGATCTTAGAGGTCTTTTCCAACCTCAATAAATCTGTGATGGTTTGAACCAGAACAGATTAAAGGACTGTAAATAAATACAAGCTTTCTGGTCAAAATATGAATGTGATATTTTTAGTGGTGGTTGTTCCCGCAGTATATTCCCAAACCAGGTAATTATGTGTAGTGGTTTTGGTTTGTTAATTTGTGATTTCATTACTTTTTACATTTCTTAGTTAATGTGCTAGTTAGTGTGCTGGGTTTGGTGTTGGTTAATTAGTAATGTTTTCATTTTTTGTTTTGAGATAGGATTTTTTACATTTTAAAAAGGTATAAAGAAAAATTTATTAATAGGAACTAAAATAAAGAGTAATAAGAATTAAAACAAAAGCAGGATGTTCTCAATACAGGTGCTTATTCTGCATCCAACAGGGGCAGCTGGAAATCCTGGAATGTGACAATTGACTGAACCTGAAACTTTGGTTCATCTTCGTTTAGCTGCCCTTTCGAGGGTGAGAGGAGACCAGAACTGTGCATGCTCATTTATGATCTCAGTAGGAATAATCAGGTGGGATCTCCAAGGTTTCTGCTTTCAAGCTGCCCTGGCTTTGTCTTTCTGAAATTAAGGGGCTCTCAGGCAAAGATATGGGAATAGGAATAACAGTTCTTTACTAGGAAAATTAAAAATACAAATGCAATAGTACAAAAACTTTTGGGGTTTCTGAGATAGGAACTGCTGGGAACTCTCAGGCTTCACAAACAGCTCTGCTTTGCTGGGCAGATGTTTTTAGCAAAATGTATTTTTACTATAGACAGGACAAGCTAAATTCAAATGCAAGGACAAAAAGACTGGGCAACACAATATAAATCTGCTTCAAAACCGTGGCTGGGATTTGTTAGGAAGCCTGGGTTGGATGGGAGTTTGCTGGAGCAGTGGAATCCTCGTGGCATCCTCTGACATGAGCAATGTAATCTTAGCTTTGGAGAGAGATCTTCAGCCTTTGTAACCAACTGCTGACACTGCAGATGGATTCTGTGGCAAATCCAGAATTGTGAAATTGAATTTGGTTTGATTAAAACTACCAACTTACCTTGTCTGTGCTCTGGGCCAGTTTGGTTCTGCTGCTCCCTTGTCTGTCTCCATGCAGGATTCTCCTGCGATCTGTGCCGCAGGTCACAGAGGATGGATGTTTTCATTAACTGCTGGGACAGGCAGCTCCAAACTCAAACAAAATGTCGATTCCTGAGTTGGATATTCCTTGTGTCCCGTGTAGCCATGCTGAAGAACATTCTTCCAGCAGAAATAAGCAGTTCTTCACAAAGAAAATAGATTTATCTGCAAGGGCTCTTAACACAGGATGACTTTCTGCCAGCCTTGCACGTGATTTTCATTTTAGAGTTGTGGAATGGATTGGATTGGAAGGGACTCGAAGATGGTCATGGGCAGGGAGCCTTTCACTAAAATCTATATTTTCTGGGCCCTGAGCAACCTTGTCTAGTGTTCCTACTTCTCAGAGCCTTTTTGAAGAGCTTTGGCTAAAATATAATTTAAATTTTTTTTAAAAGCTGATTTAAGACACAATTAAAAGTTTTGGGAGTAGAATAGTAATGTAGTAGCATGAGAAAGGATTCCTGTTTCTGTAGCTACCATGCAGCATGGAACAAGAAATGCAATGAGTTTTATGCTTTGAAAGAAGCTGCTTTGAGGGGAGACTTGTGGGGGGCTGCAGTTTCTTCAGGAGGGGCAGCTCCGATCTCGGCTCTCTGTGACAGGGACAGGTCCTGAGGGACTTTATTTCAGTTATGTGCAGGTACTGTGGAGTTACCTGCGGCTGTGTCAGGGGAGGTTGAGGTTGGATATCAGGAAAAGGTTTTTGCTGCTCTTTTTGGGATTTTTATCCTCTCAAAGGGAGAAGATTGCATTGATTCTTGAATAGAAATCTGGAGTGACATCAAGAAGCGTTGAGCTATGTTCAGTTTCACAAAGTTTTCAGCAGTTTTGTTGCAATCTCAAACTTAATTGATTTCAGTAAAAAGAATCTTACTACATGATGTTAGAGGTTAAAATAATTGAGGGGGGAAATAGGGTCATGTGGCCTTTTCTTGTTTTATTGGTATATGTTTGAACACTGACTGGTGGAAGACCTGGATAGATTTGTGATGGATTTCTCTGTGTCCCTGTGACATCCCTTACCTTTGGCAGGTAAGTTACAGGAACTACAACACTGCACAGGTTGAACTAATTTCCATTACTAAAGTTAGGATTTTTTTTCCTTACAGCTCTTCATAAATAATAAATCAGGAAATATTTCAGATATTATGTTGTGCCTGTATTAATGACTGTCTGGCAATGTGATAACCAGGAGAGAACTTTCCCTGAAAAGGGAAAAGAGAAGTTCTGAAGGCGTGGGAATCAGAAAAATAGAAACTTCCATAGACACGGAAGGGTTTGATTTGCAGCCTTGGGACAAGCTTGAATTGATGTAGAAAGGGAAAAGAGAAGTTCTGAAGGCGTGGGAATCAGAAAAATAGAAACTTCCATAGACAGGGAAGGGTTTGATTTGCAGCCTTGGGAGAAGCTTGAATTGATGTAAAAATACAATGCACAGACATTAAGCAGAAAAACCATAAATTTATGTTTCTATCATTGTAAGTAATAATATGCCTTAAACAAGTGAGAAACTGTATTGATAAGGCAGTGAAGGGTTTATAATGCAGGGATGTGGTTGTATAGAATAAGCTGAGAGTTTAGAAGTTGTAATAGATTTATATTTGTGCATGTGAGACAGAAGCCTATTGGACAGAAGTATCTGCAGTACAGCAGAAGTAAAGGTGATTATAGGATTCAGAGCGACCCCCATGGAAGGCAGAAATGACGAGGAGGACTCCACTGACATCAGAAGGCAAATCAATTACTTTATTATACCACATTGTTCTATACTATATTACACTATCCTACACCACATCCAAACTGAAACTGCACAAGCACTCAGCTGCACAAAATCTTGTGATTGTCTACTGACTGACAGTCTGGACATGTGCTTGGCCCTGATAGGCTAAGGAAACAAAACACCATCACTTTGGGTAGACAATCTCCATATTGCATTCTACTTTGGCACAACAAGAGGAGGAGCAATTGAGATAAAAATTGTTTTTTCTTTCTCCAAGGTTGCACGCTGCGATTCCCAGAAAATATCCTTAGGAAGTTGTGCCTTGCTTTTCTCTCTGAAGAGAAAAGCGGCCACAGGTGATAGGTTAGAAAAGCAAAATAAACCCTGTAGCAACTGTTCATTGGTTTAGAAAGTTCTGTATTGCCTTGTAACAAAGAAACTTGTGACTGCTCTTAAGCTATGGCCGACTGCTTGCTCCTTTAAAATCTCACAGCCTCTGAGACAGGTGTTTATCTGAGCAATATATCGTTCTCAGCCTGAAAATAGTCCCATCCTGTGGTATTCACATGCCCTCTGAACAGAGAGAAGCTGTGAGACAAGCAGAGAAGAACGAAAACATAATCCTTATCTCGTTTGCTGTGCTAAGGTGGAATGCAAAATGGAGATTGTTTACCCAAAGTGAGGATGTTTTGTTCTCTTGGCGTATCAGGGCCAAGAGCTGTGTGTGTGTCGGACTGTCACGAGAGAGAATCGAGATGAGTGCAGTTGTGAGCAAGAGTGAGTGCGAGGCAGATTTGGTTTAGATATCATGTATATAATATAGAATAATAAAGTAATTATTTAGCCTTCTGATGATGGAGTCAGATGCATCATTCTCTCCCCTTCACTGGGGGTTGCCCGTGGAGTAATACCATCCCTTCATTACAAGTGGCAATGATAATAATATGGAGGGTTTGAAAACTGGCGGAGTAATAAACCACAGTATTGATGGGTTTTATTTTCTCGGAGTACATTGATCTCTGCAAAAAAAAAATTCCAAATAACTTTTGCCATCATGGTATCCTCAGGACTTTATCCACCAGCGATGACGTGGAGGACCGGGAGAACGAGAAGGGGCGGCTGGAGGAGGCGTACGAGAAGTGTGACCGCGACCTGGACGAGCTGATCGTGCAGCACTACACGGAGCTGACCACGGCCATCCGCACCTACCAGAGCATCACCGAGCGCATCACCAACTCCCGCAACAAGATCAAGCAGGTGCCACCCCGCCCTCAGGGCTCTGTGCATGGGGACGTGGATTTGTGGAGTTTGTATACATTGTGGCTTGGGTTGAACAGACGGGTGTTTGCTAGAGAAGGCAGGAGGCTCCCCTGAAATGGAAAATGTAAACCCTCTCCCTACAAATGTTATCATTTTGAAATTAAGGGGCTCTCAGGCAAAGATATGGGAGCAGGAATAACAGTTCTTTACTAGGACAACGTTAAAACACCTCTCAGCTGCCCCATCTCTGGGTCACAAAAGAGCATAATCCAACATGTGTCAGCTCCACAGGCTGTGCTCCAGCTGCAAATCTCCTTTTTTCCTGGCTTCTGTTTTATTCGTGGTTTTGCTACCAGTAACCACCAGTGATGGAAGCTCTAAAGTCCTGTTTTAAGCTTTTGTTTCTCTCTCTGTTTTTCCAGCTTTTCATCTTCATTTTGAATTGAATGAAAATTGAGTGGAGAAATTGCTATTGCCACTAAATTCCTGCTGAATTTCCACCTGGAGTACTGTGTCCAACACTGTTGGAACAGGTGCAGAGGAGTCCCCAGGGCTGGAGCCCCTCAGCTCTTGAGCTAGGCTGGGAGAGCTGGGGGTGCTCACCTGGAGAGCAGAAGGATCCAGGGAGAGCTTCCAGCACATTCCAGGGCCTGCAGGGGCTCCAGGAGAGCTGCAGAGGGACTGGGGACAAGGGATGGACAGGACACAGGGAGTGGCTCCCAGTGCCAGAGGGCAGCCATGGATGGGATCTTGGCCATGAGGAATTCCTGGCTGGGCTGGAATTGCCAGAGCAGCTGGGGCTGCCCTGGGATCCCTGGAATGGCCAAGGCCAGGCTGGACACTGGGGCTGGAGCAGCCTGGGACACTGGGAGGTGTCCCTGATTTTAAAGTTCTCTTCAACCCCATATCTTGGCATGACTCTAATTCTAAGCTAGGCCTGAATACCAGTGACTCTGTCCCTACAGGACCCTCCAGTCCCACCATTGTCCCAAGCTGTGTCTTACTGGCAGCATTTTCTGTAGGATCTCCCTGAGAAGAGAAGTTGTTAAAAGTCAAACTGAGAGGTGGATGTGAAGCACAAAGCTCTGCAGTGCCCCTGTTCATTTATTGTCTGGGCATGCTGCTCTCAGGTTTTTGAAGTCTCCAGGGCTGCTGAGCTCACACCTTTCCATCTCATCTTTTCATGTTTTGATATCTTGGCCTTCAACCACCTCCTGAATAGTCTGGGTGATGCATCATCTCGCTTTTTGCTCACAGAATATGAATTTTGATGCCATTTCCAAGCTCAGCTGTGTTGTGTGAACGCCCATGAACTCTGTGCCCCCAAATCTTTCTGCATTTTGAGTGCTCACACTTTAGGGTATAGTGCCAGTAAATAACTCTGGCACTCGTGGCAGGGGACTTGTTTGAGCTGCTCTGTCCCTGCAGCAGCAGATGAGTTTTTTGGGCTCCTATCTTGCACTTTCTGTGCAGTTTGCTGTACCTAAACTTTGCAAAACAGGCACCAAATTTTTCTTACTTAAGTTTGTTTCCTGGCTCTGTGGAACTCTCAGCTTAAAACCTTTCCCAGGAGTGCTTTAGGAGCAGCAAATTTTTACCCTTGGTGGGTTACATACTGACCCTTCTGGCTTTGAAAATTCATTTAACATTTTCAAAGAAAATGAGAGCATTCTGTTGCTTTCCAAGGGTAAGAGTTCATTCCAGGATTTATGGACAAAGCTCAGCACTCTGAAAGCAGAGATCAATTCCACTAAATTTGAAATCAACTGTAGGCAGTGGCCTGGTTTCACACAGTGTGCAAAGCTTTGCAGAGGTCAACACAAGCAGAGAGTGGTGTGACCTTTGGGTCCCACCTAGAAGAATGACTGTGAGAGTGAGGGACCTTTTGGTATTTAAGTTTGCTTATTGGTTTTAGTCAATATGTATTGAAGTGGTTTTGACCTAATCTCACAGGAGGCCCCAGGTCTGCTTTGTCATCAATCTGTGTTAAAGTCCCAGGCTTGCTCTTCGTGTTCCCCTCTGTGCAAGGTGGGAGTTGTACAGGTGACAGATATTCCAGAGCCTTCTGTGGATCTGCCTTTTGTAGTCAAGTCTTGTGTGAATTCCTGGTGGGAATGGTTTAGTTTTGGGTTTAGCTACAGAGGTGTTGCCTCTGTAAAACTGAATTACGAAGCAGAATCAATTTGAGCTCCCAAGGGGAGGTTTTTTGTTTTAAGATCTGCTGTTCATTCCTTGCCCTGCTCCCAGATGTGGATGGAGTTGATGATCTTTCTTGCAAGGACAGGAGCAGGAATGTCTGGTGAGATTCCTCCTGGCCCCATGATTGTTTTGCTGACCTAATTTGGCTCTCTGTAGCTGCAGTCCACTGATGAAGCTGTGCCAGGCCAGTGAAACATTTCCAATTAATGTATTGAACAGGGATTAGATGTGAAATGATCTCTGCGTGTGCTTTAGTTTGCCTCTGCTTTTTAGGACACCCTCAGATGAGGTTTTTTTTTGTTGGCTGAGGATTTTTCCATGCTTCTCTTTTCAGAAGGACATTTTGGAGTGCACTTTTGAAATCTCAAACTCTCCTGTCTCTGGACAGAGGCTGTTTTATGGAGCTGTTTTTATTTACAAGTGTCCAGTATTGGTCCACTGATGTGTTTCTCACATTTTTTTTTAACTGCCTTCAGGTGAACAAGGTAGGAGAAAGTGCAGCTGAAGTGGGATTTGTGGAATGCTTTAAAGGCTCATTATTTAAAAATAAATTGAAGGGCTCCTTCTGAGTGTCTCTCTTCATGTGTAATTCAGTGAGAGTTCAGCCTGAGAAAAGGTTGGGCCCCAAGTATTCATAACTTATCACAAAACAAGAGTGGTGTGAAGGCAATGTGTGAAGCTGTGCTGCTAATTGCTTCCACATTTTAGTATGGATTGTTGATTTGCATTAAGCAGGAAAAGCTAGGTTACTCTGACCTTACCAGGGAGAATCTGAAAGCAGGGAATGCTGTGAGTGGAGAGAATGGAGAAGGAAAACTCTTGTGTTGCCTAAACGGAGAAAAATTAGAGATTTTGCCACTTGCCTAAATGGAGAAAAATTAGAGATTTTGCCACTTGGATGATGGCATCAGGCTCAGAACCAAACTGCATGGTACCACTAAAGGGTTTGTAATGGCTTGATAAATAATGGAAATGCTCATTTGAACTCATAAATGTTCTGATTAAATCTTCTCTTAAAAAAAAATTGTATTGCTCAAGTTATTGGGAAAATAGTTTTACTCTTAGCTGGTCTTGTTTCAGAGAAAAACACCAAACCTGAAGAAAGGAGGAGACTGCCAAAAGATTTAATAGGCAGATGGAAAATGTTTGCAGCAGGAAAATTAGTGATGGCTTATTTGCTTCCACAGAAAATTAAATTCTTGCTGTTTGCCAAAATACTGAATTGGTTCTTGGGAAATGGCTTTGGTTGTGGTTAACAGGATCTGGGTTTCATTGCACTCTGGTACTTCAGTTACATTTTCACTGGTGGTATAAAACTTGCATTAAAGAACATTTCACTATGAGAAAAGTTCAGTTTTTAAGGTCTGTAAAGTTCTCCTCAGCCAAGGTCTGTAAAGTTCTCCTCAGCCAAGGCAGCACGAAGGAAATCAAATTTGCTTTTACCCTGGTGATATTTTTGGAATCCCTAATAAAGCAAACGTGGGGAAGGGCTGCTCTGAGTTGCAGGGACAGATGTCATTAACCCTTGCTGTGCTGCTGCAGGTGAAGGAGAACCTGCTGTCCTGCAAGATGCTGCTGCACTGCAAGCGGGACGAGCTGCGCAAGCTGTGGATCGAGGGCATCGAGCACAAGCACGTCCTGAACCTCCTGGACGAGATCGAGAACATCAAGCAGGTCCCTCAGAAGCTGGAGCAGTGCATGGCCAGCAAGCGCTACCTCAACGCCACCGACATGCTGGTACCCCCTTTTTGTGCCCCCTTTTTGTGCCCCCTTTTGCTGTCACCATGATATTTTATGAAAATCCCTTTGCTAGGATTTTCTCCCGAGGAGCTGAGAAGCCTCAGAGAAGAAATGCAAACAATTAACTATCTGATGGCTGTGGAATGTGGTCTGGACATTGTTTACCAGCAGGTGCATCTTTGGTTGGTCCATGTCAGTTGTTTCTGCTTAATAACCAATCAAAGATCCAGCTGCGTTGGACTCTGAGAGTCACGAGCTTTTGTTATTCATTCCTTTCTGTTCCTTTCTAGCTTTCTAATAGATCCTTTCTCTCTATTCTTTTTAGTATAGTTTTAGTATAGCATTTTAATATAGTATAATAATATAATAAATCAGCCTTCTGAAACATGGAGTCAAGATTCTCATCTCTTCCCTCATCCAGGGACCCTCGAATACAACCACACCCCCCTTTTTTGCCCCCCCTTTTTTGGCCCCCTTTCCATCCCCTTTTTGCCCCCTTTCTGTCCCCTTTCCCTCCCATCTCCTCCTTTTGCAGTCTCATGCTTTATTTCAAAATTAATTTTCCAGACACCTGCCTGGATCATCATTTCTTAAAATCTTACCAATTATTTCAAACCCTTTTTTATAATAGAAGGAACTGTCCTGTGTCCCTCCTCTTTCATCCCCAGAATGCACTCACAACTTTGGCCATTATTCACAGGGGAGGTTCTTGCACTATTTAGGTGGCTTTGCCTCTTTGTCTGCATGAGAGGACAAAGGCTTAAGGTTTAAGTTGGTTATTAGGAGGAATGTCTTCACAGAAAGGGTGGTCAGAGGTGGCAATGAACTGCTATATGAAGGGTTTGGAGTTCCCACTCCTGGAGGTGTCCATGGAATTCCTGGATGTGGTAGGTTGGACTTGATCATCTCAGACATCTTTTCCAACTTAATTGGTTTTGTGACTCTGTGATTCTTTTCTCAGGGTTCTTGATTCTTTCTTCTTACTTCCAGCTCCTGGTTAATCTCTTTTTCTCCATTCCTTCAAGTGTTTTTTGTCTTCAATTCCATTTCTTTTATTAGCTTGCCTTACAGTTCCAGTCTTGTCCAGCACAGTAAAATCAGGATGCCCCTGACGAAGGAATGATTGGCATCTGACTCCATTGATTTATTAAACAATTGCTTCATTAAACTATATTATATCACATTATACTACACTATATTAAAGAGATGCTTTACTACAAAGAATACTAAAGAATACTAAAGAAATATATACAAAGAATACTAAAGAATACTGTCTCCCAACATTCAGGACACAGCTTTTTCCAATTGACCAAGGAAACAAAACAATTCTCAGCAGACTCTAATTGACAAATCACTTCAGGTGAACAATCTTCCTAACACATTCCACATCTGCAAAACAACAGGAGCAGAGACTAGAGATAAGAATTGTTTTTCTCTTCTTCTCTCTGTGCTTCTCCAGGAAAAAAAAAAAACTTTGAGAGAATTATGTCTCTGTTCAGAGAATGTGAATGCCACAGTCCAGGAGTTTCCTGGACTCCTCTAATAACAATCTTTCTTTTTGTAAACTTAACAAGTACATTTCCTGACCAGGCTCCAGTCCTTCCTTTCCTGGAACTGTCTTTAGGAATTAAAACAAGAGAGGTGATTTTTCTCTTCTCAATCCTGACATGTGGAGTGCTCAGTCCAGTCCTGGGCTCTCCAGTAGAGACAGGTGGATTTACTGGGTCCAGGCCAGGGGGGATTACAGGGATGGTTAAGGAGCATCTCACACATGGAGAGAGGCTGAGAGGATCCCCAGGGAGATGTTCTTGATGGTTATTACTGTTTCATGGGAGGGTGCAAAGGAAACAGAGCCAGACTCTCCTTTATGATGCCCAGGGATGGGGGAAGAGGAATGGGCACAGTCTGAAACACAGGGAATAGTTTCATCCTAAACCAGCCCTTTTTTACTGTAGGGATGGTTGAACACTTGAAGTTCAAGCTCTATAGACCCAGAGAGGTTTTGGAGTCTCCCTCTGTGGAAAATTTCCAAATCCAGACTGGACATGGCTCTAGGTGCCTGTACTTGGGCAGGGAGGTGGATTTGATGTTCTCCACAGGTCCTTTCCATCCTGAACCACAAAAAGCAGAGGCAAAAGTGCTGCCTCTGTTTCTTACTCCTCTTGGCCAGACAGTGCCTTTAAGCCCATCTTTTCATTGCCTTATTTTGTTGTTTTTTCCCTTTCACTGCCCTTTGTTGTCTCTTAGCTGTGCCTCTTCACTTCTTTTTAATAAGTCATTACCCAACACGAGAAAGGTTTGGACATTCACCCTGAGCTTTAATTTCCTCATTTTTGCTTTATCTTATTTCACCTTAAACATAACTTTGTAAAACTTACCTTGTTCTCTGTGCTGGATTTCCCCCAGCTGGATGTCACTCCCATCCCACCCTCCCATGGCCTGTGGAACCCACCTGGTTTTTGGTGTTGCTGTCACATCCTCGTGTCTGGTTTCACTCTGGCATCACTTTCCTCTTGTTTTTCTGTTCCTCCTCCTCTCCTGTGCCAGCCCTGCTGCACTCACAGGATCATGGAAGGCTTTGGGTTAGAAGGGACATGAAATCCCACCCAGTGCCACCCCTACTCCAGCCTGGCCTTGGACAGCTCCAGAAATGGGAGAATCCAAGTGTGGTGTTTGCCTGATATTTTCAATTGTCAGATGTGAAAAAGGAGGTGGAAATTAAGGGTGTCCAGTGTAGGTACCAAAATATGATACTCACAGTTGCCATCAGTATGAGTTGAAATGTTGGTGCTTTTTTCACCAGTTTGCTTGGTTTAGTTGTTTTTTGTTTTGTTTTGTTTTTTGTGGGTTCCTTTTTAATTAAAAAAAAATTCTTTTCAAAATGCCAGACAAGTAATCTGTTCCCTATTTGAAATCCGTGTTAGGAAGTGTAAGAAGAAAAATAACCTTGCTTAAGATTTCTCATACATTATGCTTTAGAAATGGTTTTCAACCTGTGTATTTGATATTTACTGGTTTGCAATATTTTGTGTACGGTTATTTTAAATATAAACACTTATGTGTATTTAAATATGTGTAAAGCTGCCTGTGGCTATGAGGGAGAGACAGCATTAGATCTCTCTGATTTATAGACTTCTGCAGCATTTCTGCTGCTGCTCTGTTTGGTTGTTTTTTTTGTTTTCAGCATAGCCAATATTTTCTAATAAATCAAATAGTAATGATATAAAAAGCAGCTGTTAGTTCATGGGCTTTTTTGAATATATATCAAGGAATGCAGAGAAACCTCAAGTGGAAATTGAACACTCAATTTCAGCCACTCATTGACACTTGCAATTCTCATTTGAAGACAAATGTGCCTGTATAAAGAAACAGTAATTCACCTGCATTTGGAGCTTTTCCCTGGCCAAAAATCACTGCAGGCTCATTGGCTTTTGCCATCTTGTGTTAACACAGCTCTGCGAGGCTGTGATGTTGTAATCACTCACTGGCTGGGGATAATTCCCTTCTCCTTTGATATGATAGGAACATTATGTAAAATCATTACTGATCTGTCAGGGAGGCACAGTGTCCATAGATCTGCCTGTCCTTTGGTTTCATTCCTCAGGGTAAACAGCTGCTGGTGGCTCAGGAGAAGCCCCAAGTGCTCTGACAAGGAGTTTGTCCCCTCACCCTGCACTTGCAGCCCTGATTGATGCTGTTCCTGTAGCCCTGTGATCCATACAGTCAGAATCAGACCTTTGCAGCCCTTTGCAACCCCTCCAAAGGCATCATTCCAGCCTGCTGCATCCCATCCCTGCATCCCATCCCTGCAGCCTGCTCTTTGTATTCCACTCACATTAATTGAAGTAATTTTGCCACTGAAGCGTGTTTCAAACCTCTGCATTTAAATTGAAATTTTAATTCCCTTATTGTTTGGAAAAGACGGCTGAGGATGGCTTGTTACAGGTTTCATTATCACTCCAAACTCTCCAGCTGCTGGTTCTAATGTGCAGTGACTGAGTAATGCAGGCAAGGATTGTTAATAAAAGACTGGCAGCTTTTCCCAGTTGGATAAACACAATGCAGAGGTACTTTGTGACAGCTTACATTTGTATGAAGTTAAATTTTTTTTTTTTAAGTGACAGCTTTTTTTTCTTTCTGATTCTGTATCCAGCCACAGCAGCACACAAATATCAGGTGTTCCTGTTGTGTGTTCCTCCAGCATCTTGATAATTCCAGGAGCACAGGCGGTAGGATCAGGTTTGCTGTCCTATAATTGCACATTACAGGGTGTCTAAAAGAGCCCATTCCCAGCATCCTTTGAATTGTGAAGCTTTGGAGAATTTGGGAATGTCTGGAACAGATAAAATGCCTGTTTGAGCTGGAATGCATTTTAGTTATTTTCCATTTCTTTATGTGCCTTTTTGATAGAGTGTGTTTGTACATTTGCCTGAAATGGAGCTGGTTTTTCACACACCGAATTACTGACAGCAGTATTCACTTTTATGGGGCACTTGAGTGCACAGGCAGACATTTGTGGGTGGTTTTTGTTTAATGTAAAACAAGAAAAGGGTTCAGGGGGACCTCCTGGCTCTGCACAAGTCCCTCCAGGAGGGGACAGGAGGGAACAGGGACAGGAGGAGAGGGAACAGCCTCAGGTTGGGCCAGGGGAGCTCAGAGGGGATTTTGGGGCAAATTTCTTCTTGGAAAGGGCTGTGCTAGTGGAGTCCCCATCCCTGGAGGGATTTAAAGCCATGTGCATGTGGCACTTGGGGACATGGGCCAATAGTGGCCTTGGCAGTGCTGGGAATGATTGGACTTGATGATCTGAGAGCTCTTTTCCAACCTAAACAATTCCATAATTCTGTGATCTGCTAATTAGGAGAAATTCTGACCCAGGAGGAGCTTCCTAAGGACAGTCTCCAGAGAAGGGAGTTGAGCAGGGGCCAGGGACACTGTCACTTCCCACTGTCACAGCAGGGACACTGATGTCACTTCCCTGGAAGCCTGAGCTTGGC